CGTGGAACTAGAACAATCTACTCCAATGGTTCAGTTTGAAATTCCAATCACCTGAAGAAGCCCAGAGTATACAACAGCCAAAATGTTGTGAATATGGCAATGAAGATGAAGATAACAATCCAAATAATGTAAATAATGCAAGCAGAAATATTAAGTTCAGCCACATTTCATATTCATTTATTATTTCTCATGTAGAAATATGAAAGTAAGATATTTTATATATTTACAAATTTCCCTTTCAAAATATGAAAATATGCAACTTTCTGTACAATTGTGTAGAAATATCAAAATAAGTTTCATTGTCTTCAGATTTATGCATTTCATTTACAATTATGAAAATAAATGTAATTCAGTGAATATTTATGCTTTTTATTTTTGAGAAACATGAGAATGACATATTTATGCCTTTTTATTTTGAAAAATGAAAATGAATACTTTAAATATTTCTGCAGCTTCTTTAGATTATGAAAGTATCCTACATTTTCTAGTCATTTATGATTTTATTAAGAAACATGAAAATAAGTTATTTCTAAATAAAAACCATTAATGTTTAGAAACTATGAAAATAACTTACTTTCTACACATTTATGCTTTTTTCTTTGGAAACATGAAAATTTGCTAGTTTCTAAACATTAATGTTTTTATTTAGAATTACAAAAATATACTAGTTTCTACACATTTATACTTTTTTATTTAAAAATATAGAAATAATCTAATCACTAAACATTAACGCTTTTTTATTTAGAAATGTGAATATACTCAACAGTTATAGTTTTTTTTTATTTAGAAACATGAAAATAATCTAGTTTCTAAATATTAATGCTTTTTTATTTAGAAATATTGTAACAGGGTAACTTGTTAGGGAAGTGTATTTTATATTTCTAGTTTCTGGTGATGGCAAGTTGAAACAGTTGTTCAAAGGACTATGTTTTTTTGTTTTTTTTTTTTTTTGACAGGTGGCAACATTTTTTGTCTATGTTTGCCTAGAAGCTTATTAGACAAATATGTAAAGCTGTTATTTTGAATGCAGATAGCCTTGAAGGTTGGCAATATTTAAAGTCTGGATAAGTTAAAAACAAACCAAAGGAAATGACCTTTTTTGACACCTCTTGTGATCGAGGGATTGTGTGAAAATTCATGAGTGGATAGGTGCTCATATATACAGCATTTTGGTGAACAGTGGTATATAATGCCTGGAGAATTGATAGGAGAGACATCGCAGATTGGCTGATCAACACACATGCAATTCACACCCCCACTGAAATTAATTCGATGTTTGTTTCTCTGAGAAACATTTGGGAATACATATTTTGGTTCCAAGTCGCTACCCTCTACAGAGGTGCTAAGCTATATTGCTTTTGTAAATATTCTATCTTTCTTTACTATTATTAAAACTATCATTTTCAACCAAGATCATGCTTTCTCCTTCCTCCGACAAGAGTATACCATTCTTTACTTCAAAGAAAATACAACTTACTAAATCAAGAGGAAAGGCAACCCCACTTTTCTTGTCAGTAAGAAACACAACACTTACCAGCAACTCTAAATGATCGATGACCTAACTGGCACCAAATTCTTGGTCAGTTTAAAACTGTATGTAACCAACCTGACCCCTCAGCCATCTCAAGGTGAAGATGTCTATAGGCCCAAATAGGGCCCAAATTGTATGGCTACATGTCCTAGGGAAAAAGGAGTTACATTATATTAAAATAAGCTTGTTCGTACACATTTATTTTTTTTATTTAGAAACATGAAAATAAGCTACAGCTTCTACATATTATGCCTTTTATTTTGAAATATGAAAATAAGCTATTTTCTAAACATTAATGCTTTTTTAATTAGAAATATGAAAATAAACTAGTTTACTAAACATTAATGTTTTATTTAGAAATATGCAAATTAGCTGCAATTTCTATACATTTATCCTTTTTTATTTAAAAATGCGAAGCTTGTTTCTAAATATGACACTATTTAGCTATGGTAATGGGCTAACTAATTAACCATAGAAATTAAAACAAGAAATACTGAGAACGGAAAGAAGATATCCCCAAAAGATATACTGTTCGATATTAAAAAGATTTTATTTCTGAAAAAGTTACTTTTCACAAAAGACAGTAGACCCGTAAAAAAGCCATAAGTAAGATTTTGACAAATTCATTGTTGTAAAGAAATGCCTTGCCGAGAGAAACAAGATTTAGAAAAGGCGAAGCATTGAAATATCACGCAGACCATACGGCTGTCATAAAAATTTCAGCCAATATGGGGTAGAGAGAATCAATATTATCTTCCCAAGATATCATTTTTTTTCTTGAGTGCTGGCAATGCAAAACCATCTGGTATTTGTGGGAATTTTGGCATGAGAAAAATTTGTCCCGATACGGGGTGGAGAGGATTGTTATTATTTACTTTACCAAAGTGTCACCTTCAGGCGCCGATACGTTAAGTAGCAACATGGTGATTATAAAATTTTGGGCATGAGAAAAGATAGCGTGGAAGAATCATGATTTGGGAGATAAGGAATTTAATTTCTCAAGAAGCCAAGGGTTCCAGTAAAAGCTAACTTCATGAAGGGACCAGATGGCAGTGATTGATGGAATTTGAAAAGGGTGCTGGTTAAGACTTGGAGTGACCAAAAAGATCTGAGAGGTTTTTCAAGTGGCAATGTGGGATTCGTAAAAATTTTGGCTGATGAAAAAAAAAAAGCATTTTGTAAACAAAAATTCTGGGTTATAATTTTAAGGAGGCCAGCTTAGCCACACCCGCACGGCTGGGATGCCATTGGTCAAGTGGTAGCAATGGTGATAGGCGGAGGTAATTTGATGAGAAGGAAGGAGAAGTTATTAACGCCCACTGAAGGGATTGGTATGAGGTATCAATGCGAGAGAGGAAGAGTTTAGGAGGATAGCTCTCTTCCGATCTCTCCTCACAGACGAAGAGATTCCACCAAAATGGAAAGTGATTAATTTTCCAAAAATGGGAAGTAATCAATTTTCCTGGCCTGACAACAAAGTTTTTGGTCGGTACCCATATAAACGAACGTCCTCGGGCCGTTCAACATATAGTAAGAGTCAGTCAAAGAGTCAGTCAGTTAGTGACAGTCAGAGTTTGAGTAGAGTGTTGCCTCGCAGAAGCTGACCGAGAGATTCCACCACCTCCGCCTATCCTACCAATAGCAAGTTATACTGACGAATGAAGCCAAGCCAGCACCTAAAAACTAAACCTAGACTTAAGATATCAAAACTTGCTTAAGAAACGTAGAAGTGTCACACTCCGTAGAAAACAGGCTTGGAGAAAAACACATTCCTGTATATAACAAATGGATAAAGTTAATTTGTTAGTTTTTAACATACTTGAACCTCTTGGGGTTTTATTTGCATCTTTTTTTTCTTTACGAATGTGCAATATCACCGCCAGTCTGGACTCATCTTACAGTATGGCCCGACGCCTGATTGATCTCGTCTACCTAAGATCAAAATCACAACGTGGGTAGGTTAGACTTGAGATCAAAGCAGTTACTTCGTTAACCAGACATTGGAAGTGAGCTGGAAATGACAGAGCTGGTGTTGAACCGGTTACACTGGTGTGAAGGCTGTTATCATCGACCGACCATCCCACTTGGTACCCTGACCAAAGGATTCCACCAGGTAATGACGACTAGGATTCGACCCGAGACGAGCCTATGTCACATATTGGTACCCTGACCAAAGGACTCCACCGGGTAGCAACAACCACCAATCGACCGGGACACAGGCTGGTGGTAGCGACTAAGAGTCAACTACAAAACGCCAGTGGAAGAAACATTAGTTTCATGTTGCAACTGAGAGTTGACCACGGGCCAACAGCTCAGTGTCACAGAAATATTAGCGACTTTTTATTTAGAAATATGAAAATAATCTAGTTTCTACTCATTTATTTAGAAATATGAAAATAAGCTATATTTTCTACACATTTACTATTTTATAAATGAACTGAAAACAGTGAAATATCAGTTGGTTCATGATGTTAAGAATTTAATAATTGAGAATAAGACTAGTCTAAGTGAGAATACTTATTCATTATCACATTTAGATGCATTGAATGCTGTGATAGTAAAGAACCCAGAGTTAAATCCTATATAAGAGATACACTTTAATATATAACCAATGAATATCTATGTTCTCAGGATAGTCATTTGCTCCAAAATATAGTCAGAGGAAAATTATATTAATTAGCAATTAAACATTTCCATATTCCCACTACTGGTTGAAATAATTCTGAATAAAAAAGCATGAAAGATATTCCTCAGATTTAAGAATAGAATTCTGCAATTCTCTCAGATCAATGGCTGCAGCTTAGGTATTTATAGAAAACTGAACACTTAGGTTTCAGTTCCATGATTTTAATAAAATACTTTTTAATGTAATAATTTTACTTTTTTTGAAATAAATAACAAAAGCTTCTCTTTTTTTAATATTAGATTTATTTACAAAACTTCCCAAAATATTGCAAGAAAAGAGAAATATTATACAGTTAAAAATTTTACAATTTGCTCCTAGAGGCTTTTTAATTTGATTAGTCTTGATTAAATTTAAATTATAAAAACTGCTGATCATTTATTTTTTCCTTCTCAAATAATTTTAAAATTTGAAGGAAAATATTTGCTGCTTTAAAAAACTTATTTTTTAATCAATTATCTAATTAGTAACAAATGGTATAATTAAAGATCTTATTTTAAGGTAAAAGCTGAAATATGATATTTTAAAAATAAATTATTTTAATCACATAACCATAGTATGTGACTTCTAAAGAATGTTTTGTAATTTTCTCATATTGCATTTTCAGTTGATCCATAATTTTTGTTCTTTTGTTAAAACGGGGAAAAACAATTAAATTAAGATCCTGACATTTTTCATACAAAATAAGGCTGCTTCTGTCATCTTCAGATCTGAAGAAAATTTTCAGATAATGTCGTTTCTGTTTTCTAATATAAAACTCCTTGGTATTTGATGGTCAGTCACGGGTCACAGTTTCCGTTTTTTGTTCTGAAAGAAGAGAGAAATTTCATTATTTCAAATAAAACCAGTGGAAAATTTGACTAGAAGTGTAAAACAAGAAAAACCTCCTTATGCTATCATCTTAAAAAATTTAAAGAAATAGCTGTGTTTGTTAACCATTATTATAAATTGACTTATAAAGTTCAAAGAACATACTGTGAACAAATGAATGAATGTATAAAAAATAATGAAGCCTTCTTGCTAAACTATGTTCTAGTCAGGTAAACCAGTTGAGGATTCAAATGAAGATGCTACTTAAAAATAATCCACATTATATGATGCAAGAGGTTAGCCAAATACTGAAAAACAGCTATTGATGAAAAGCATTTGGAATTTTTTGAGAAAAATGGCATAATATTCCATCATGATGATATGACATTTATTAGATGAAAAAATGTAACACAGCTTGATATAGTGAATACCTTCAGATAACCATTTATTATGGTCTTTACAGAATATTGAAAATTTGAGAGGATGTTTCTTATCAAGTCAGCATATTTTTAGTTCCTATTCAGATAAGAAGAAAAATCTAATTACAAATATTCTCGAACTGGTACTGGCACCAAATTCAGAAAATGAAGATTCAGCTTTTCTTCTAAAAAATACAAAGAAAGAGAAGAAAATATTTGTTTTTATTAAATACAAATAATCAATTTTATCTTAGAAATAAATACAGCAAAAAAGTCAATTGTTTTTTTTAATCATTATTTTTAATATTATAACAAAATTATGAAATTTTTTGCAATGATAATAAAGTATGAAAACAATAATAATTATAATCAAGTGAGCTATTACATCAAGTCAATCTCAGACTATTTCTAATATGTTGTCTATTAGTTTAGTATCTATTTAACATTGACATTTCTTCATAAAGTCTTATATATAAAGTACATATACACACTGATATACTATATTGGACATAGTGTTTTTTAAATAAATGATAATTTCTATTATTGCAATTGATCTAAAACTTGTTCTAATTGGTTTGGTTGTTTTAGTTTAGCAGTATATCAACCTCTTTGGGTTATTTAATGCAAAAATCCAAATATTTTGTACATAATTTTATACTTTCTGGGTAAATGTATGTTTTATAATTATATAGTTTGTAGATGATCTACTGTAGGTGTTATATGTTTTGGTATAAACCTATTTCTAATAAGGTAGGACATTATGTTAACAGTTTCAGTATTTTCAAATAATTTTCTCAGGTTGTTTTCTTTGTGGTATTTATATCTTACAGGGGCTAAGCAAGTACATTCAGTTAAAATTTGTTTCACCATGAGTGCAGCTTGGCATGTTGTACATATTGGTTGATCTTCATTCTTCAGCATGTATGAATGGGTGAGATATGAGTGGCCTATGTGTAGTCAAGCTACCATTACTTTGTCTTTTCTTCCTTTGCCAGACATTTGCTTCCATTCACCTAGGAATGGTTTGATTGTAAAAAGTTTATTATTTGTGTTGTTGGCTCAGCGTTTTTGCAATTTCTGTTGAATCTGTTTATTTTACTTTTTATATCAGTATAGATCTTTTTTCTTACTGATTTGTATTTTATTATTTTTCTTTTCTTCAGTTATTGGTTATGGTTTAATTTAGTAGAAAGAGCCATTTTCATATTTGTTATGCTGGTTTTTAAGGCTTTAATGAGGTTTTGCAATTCATTTAATAATCATTAATCTGGTAATTTTGGGATAATTTTGAAAAGAAAAGGTGGATTCAATAAGTTTTCTAGCCCTTGGGAATGTGATGTTTTGAGTGATTTTTTTTTATTATTTCTTTTGCTTTTTCCCCTGAGTCTTGCACTCTGTGATCTCCAATGCAGTTGATATATTTTGAGTGATTTTTACATGTTGTATCATCATGGTTTGGTTCTATTACCCAATATCTTACACATGCCTGTTCTCTTGTACAATACTCCTTCAGATGCCCAATTTTTTGACATTTATGGCATTTTCTTGGATTTGGAATATGTTTTTCTACTTTAGCTATTAAATATCCAATTCAAATTTTGGATGACAGTGTCAGAGAATTGAAAGATAATATATGTGTTAGTATTATTTGATTATGTTTTTTAATTGTTATCCATTTGACATCAGTCCTCTTTTTTCTTTAAACTTTGCTTTTACTTCTTCTATGATACAAAGCGATAGATCTCCACTATGAATCACACCTCCAGAGGAGTTCAATCTTTTATGTGGGTATGCTTTTATACAGCTGTAATGGAATTTTTTAGTCTTTAATAGTATGCCTGAATTTTTTTTTTATTTGATATTTCTGTCAAGATGGTTTCATTTTTTGAGTTTTTTACTGTTTACAGATTAACCATTGAAGATATTTATAAAAAATGTTGATAATTTGGTTAGTGCAACCTCCTCTCTAGATTCAAATAAACCTGAGAAAGGGTACCTCAGACTGTTCTTCATCAGAATCTGACTACGTGTGGAGTCTTTTAGCTTGGGTTTTTCTTTCTGTTTCCATACAATGAAATTATGCTTCTTTGACTGTACTTCCCCTACCATAGAGTTCTACTAGGGGAAATACCAAGGGGGAAGTCCATTCAGTTTGGCAGATCAGGTCTATACAGTAAATATACACACACTTTGATGAACCAATTAAGAGATCATTTCATGCTCCTCAAAATCTCCCACTTAGAGACCTTGCTGCCAGATGTAGTTTATCATCATACCCAGGCCAGACTTGCTTGATTCAGTAACTCCCTCTTCAAACATTCTCATTACCTCAGTTTTAAAAATTGTTTGTTATCATGCGAGTACTGTCTAGATTTTACTGCTATGGATTTGCAGTCCAGCATTAGGTTGTTAAAAAATGACAGGTACTGAACGTTGATTGCTGCTAGTCTGCAGACTTTTAAGGTTAATTTGGGTCCTCGAAAAGTGATTATATTAAAATGTCAACATAAGAAGTATCACACTACAACAAAGAAGGTTCATTACTGATAATTTTGTGTGAATGTAAGAAATATTTTTTAGCTAAAATCTGACCCAATTACTTGAGCAGACAATGTTCACCATAGTTATTTTGTTGGAGCAAGGAAAGATCCACCACTTATTACCTTTCACCAGGCTTGAATCTATGTAGCTCACAGAACTACCTGTGTCAATAAGAGCATCCACAGGTACAGATTGATGTAATTTAGAAAAATGTTCAAGTTTCTCACATTTGTGACACTTGGTATTTCTGGATGAAAAGAGAGTCCACAAAAGAAGTAGTTTTTTACTCAAAGGTAGAACCTTGGTCATGAGAAGATGATGAAGACAAAAATGAAGTGTCTGGAGAACTGTGAGACTCCTGAGACATACTGGCAGTAGGTGAGAAGAAAACAGACTGTTTCTGGGCAACATCTAAATTGTAGGCTGTCTCACAGGCAGTTCTTAATGTCATGGGTTTATTTTCAAAGAGTCTCTGCCACACTTGAGCATTTCAAAGGCTGTTTATAAAAACATCCCATAATATATTCATGCTGAGCTTCTTCTGCATTCATTGATTTAAAATTGCAGTCTTTCAGTTAGGAAGCGCTCAAGTGAGGCACCATGTTCCTGTTTTCGAGTGGCAAGTATATGTCAAGCAAAAAACTCATTTTTAGGCACAACAATTGTATGCAGCAAGATTATCCTGTATACAAAGGGGGATAGATAGCTCATTATCAGTCTCATCTTGTTTATTTGTTGGTGAGGGTGTTCCGCTATAGGGGTTTCTACAAAATATTTGAACGTTAAAATCCAATGAGTCCATTTACTCAGCAGCTGTGGCATGGTCAGGTGCGATGTTGAACCTTTGTGGTCTCATGCAATGTTCCATGTTGGGAATTCTAAGTTAAATAAATTGTAGTGAGAAAATGAACACAATATAACTTATCTGAAGCTTTATTCAACTTAGAATGGAGTATGTCTGACTGGATGTAACTAAATACAGAACATGTATTAGGGGAGATAATCCATACCACAAGTCCATAGGTTTTTATGACTTTCTGTTAGAAGACGTTTCTGTATTTGAATTGAATGCAAGTTTTTTTTGTTTTTTTGAATGGTCAGGAGGGGGGTTACATAGATAACTATTCTGAGAGTTGATGAACAGATTGGTGATCTTTGAAATTTTTACTTAATGTAGTTTACTTTAGGAAATTTGCAGTTTTGTACATGTGGTTTGAAATATGTTTTTCCAATTTATGTAGTAACTCTGTTTGCTTTAATATTTATATTTAATATTGCTTTTATGTCCATCGTCTTTTTCATGTTGAATTGTATATGGTCTATGTTAATTATGTTTTATGAATATGTCCTGAAGATGGTCTATTAGACTGAAACGTCCGACATTGACATTTAAACAGTATAATCGCATATTAGGATTTTGTTTGTTTGTTTTTTCAGTATATTTTTCTTCATACTGTCGGATGTATATCCATATATATATATATAATGCAAGGGAGCTAACTTAATATGATTTAATATAAAATAATAACAATATTAAAGGAAAAATACTAAAGGAAAAATAAGTATTAATACTACAGAAAAAATAAAATAAAATAAATAAAAAAAAGTATTAATAAATATATTGTTATGTTAACCCCATATTTGTACCCTCACCTCAGATATTATAAGTATATTTTCAGTACCTTTTGTATTTGCGACAAAACATATGAATCTTAATAACTCCTTTATTTCTTGAATATGCAGATTGGGGGATATATTTTTTTATACCCAGATGAGTCAGGGCCAGTTCTCAAAAAAGAACCTTCCTTTCTCTCCCCCCATTTCCTACCTGGTCTCTGATGCGTAGGCCAAACAAACGCTGTTTGACAGATAGGTGCGAATGATATTAACCAGGTCCATAGTCATAGGCCAAACGGACACTGTTTGACAGATAAGTGCGAATGACATTAACAGGGTCCATGAATGGCGCATGCTTTTTTTGACTCAACATATAGCAGTTTTCGTTTTACATGTGTTGAGGTGACAACAATCTCACATAGTTGCTGGCTATTGGAGCAATTGGACGTCACCAAAACCAGTCTTGGCTGTTTGCCATTAGAAGAAGCAGTTGTCACCAAAACCAGACTTCGTTGTTTGATGCTAGAAGAATTAGATGCCACCAAAAACCAAAGGACCGACAAGAGAATCTAGAACAACATCCTCAACCCAAATCGGCTACACTCCTGTGATTTTTCTGTGTGTTCTCCTCGACATCAACACAGAATTGACGTCGCCAGTCAAAAACTCATATTAGAACATTGAAAATCCCATCCTTTACTTTCAGAGAAGTGTATGAATATCCTTTTGATCAAACTGTACCCCGATAATAGTCAATCGACGTCGATTCCAACCTTATGTAAGTTTCTGCATGTTTTTCCATATCTTATAATCTGCTGTCTCTGTATTCATATGTATTTCGCCACATTAGTATCTGTTTAATTGGTAACTTATCTCCTCATCCCTTGTATTATTTAGTTTTTTTTTTCTTTTTCTTACTTTCACACTTTGTATATTCTATAAATAAAATCTTTGTATTATATATTTTCGTGTCGTCTTCTGTTGTTCTTTGTCTGTGTATGGTTCATTTTCTCTCTGCATTTATCCA